TTCATTGACTGGTGCGATGTTTTTGTTTGACCTCCACTAGCTCTTTTCCAGCCTGACCCTATGTCAGATAACGTTTCCTGTTGTCGAGGAAGGCGATGACTAGTCAGGGATGCGTAACACATGTCCTAACCATCTCAGTCTTTGATTTCCCCTGTTTACCTAGTACTCGACCGAAGCCCAACCTCAACACTGCTCACCTTATTAAGCCACTTAACACAGGAGATAGAACGCAGTCACCTATGATCAAAGACAGCTAACCACGCTTTTCATGTCTTCCACTCTCAGTGGCCAGGTCTCACAGCCATAAAGGAGGACGGAGTGGACTGATGAGCAGTACACCCCCCTCATGGACTTGAAAGTCTGCCATCCACAAATTTTTTATTCAGACATTGTAAGGTTAGTTAGGTAAAATGAAGTCGAAGAGAAGATTCAACTGAAGAGGTTAAGTGTTTATTATATCTAACCATGCCTCGCACACTAATTCCACATGATGAAAGGTTGAATCCAACCCCACATCAACAGTTTGGATTGATCCCAGCAACTAGAATTTTTCTCTTGGATGTATATATCTCAGCACTCTCTAGAATTACATGCCCAGGGATCATTTGTAGTTGAAGTCTGTGAACTGTCACATTTTTCTGTGTTAGTCTTATATAAGGACATTACACTTCACCCTCTAAAAATGTAACGAAATTCTGGGGGTCGACTCATCTATGAATCATATATGTCACTTTTGTATGGATATTCGCATAGCATAAAGACTGAAATCATGTATTACTGTGTAACAACAGAAGACAAGGGCCGGAAACAGATACTCGTATTACGGAAATCAACACGTATTTATATATATTTCATGTACATTATTATAGCTTATTCAAGTAGACAAACGCAGTCTTCTGATTGGTTGTTTTCGAGTTTTCTCGGAAAGTGGAGCCATCTATATGGGAATGATGTTTGCCAACGTTTAAGTTTGCTGTGATTGGTTGTTGAATCAGTTTTGCTCATATTTTCTCACGGCCAATATTAGTGACTTAGACACTGACGTAGATTTATGTCTACCAATAGGCAAACAGTCTACTCTCATCACAACTGAAGTGTTGTTCAACTTTGAAATTGAAATGTACACTCCACATGAAAATAACTTCAGCGATTTCAGACTCAGCACTTTTTTGTTGCCCTCATATATATTGTAGGAGAGTTTCGTGTAATCCTAACATCAGCCTATAGACTTGTTCAACATATCTTATGCATGACTTTATTCACCACCATCCCTCTGAGGCGTACCACTACTTTACAATACTCAAACTATTCCCGTATTCTTTCAATTTAATGGTTGGGATTATATCCATTAAAAAGGTGGCGTATCTGTACATGAAACATTATTTCAACTGCAGGCGAATCCAACTGACGAGGATATCAAGGCAGCGAGGAGCGGAAAAGCAAGACAAGCTTTCATTACTCTCGTCAAGTCTGTGTGCAGGAGGTCAACATCACTACTCAGAATCAAAAATAACATCCGGATTTTTTTCCAACTCCAATGTGAAGTCAGTCAGTGCTACTCACTATACGGATGGATCAGAGACTTGCACTGAGCGTCATAAAGAGCATCTCAAACAAACTTCACACCTTCATCAACAGCTAGTTGTCTTCGCTCAATACTCCGCTGAGGATCAAATGGCCGGTTGGCCAGAAAACATCAGCGACAGGGAGGGATCTCTGTCAATGAGCGAACCAACCAACCAACCAACACAGCAGGAACCGATTGTGAAACAAATAGGCAGGAAGATGGATGGAGATGGATTGGCTGGCCAAACTCTGAGAAAGGAAACCATCAAGTGAGTGACATGACTAGACAAGCCATTGATGGAGTGGAACCCGGCTGAAAGGGAAGCGGGTAGCGAGTTGGTCGTCAGTGGAAGAGTGAGGGTGACTTGGAGGAGGTCATGTGAAGAGGAGGAGATGAAAGCATGTGGGCAGACGCATGGAGCGAGATGAAAAAGTTGGCACAAAACAGAAGGCAATGGAGATGGGCAGCTGAAGCCTTATGTTACTCTAGGAATTAAAGGATATAATAATAATAATAATAATATACAATTTGCAAAAGATGACATCTGAAAGGAACTCCAAGCTTCTGTTCTACACACAGTGTAACTATTTTATGAAAGCAATGAATGGTCTTGTAACTTTCTACCTGTGTCTTCACAAACATACTTGAGTGAAGGATCACGAGTTCTGCACGATGATTGGACCATAACACCAGAGGCTTTAGATTGCTGGGTTTCGTCCTACGTCTTTATTTGCATGCTCGGCTGAAAAGTTACCGAGGTTTAGTACTCCTCTTTAAATTGATATTTGTTCGCAGTAAGCATCACACATCAAATATAGTCACACTGAGAGCAGCTTTAGTCATCCACGTATATACAATCATACACAAGACATCACAATGACAATGGCATATGACTAGTACATAACAATTGATTTGCTTCCAACAAAGGGCGTATTTCACACATGTTACGATGACCAGTAACTATAATCAGTGTGAATGAGTTTAGTAATGTAACTTCTTCGTGACTTCATTTTGGTGCCAAGCTGCATATGGGAGCGACCCTAGCATACAACACTCAGATCAGTTAGTTGGGCGAAAGAGAGCTGCTACAGTGACGTGTTGGTCGGGTTTACAAATCGCAATGACCCAACAGGCTACACACTAGCTGGAATTAATGTTCCTGCAGGACATATACTTTACCAGAAAGGTTGTTAGGACAGAGATTAGACTTAGAGCAATTACGGGTATAGTGTGAGGTGAGGTGCTTATACTATGCTGGGTGGGGGGGTGGTTGTGGGCAAAGTCAGACAGTTGAGGAACAAGGATGTGACAGCGGCAGTAAGGTGCTTCCCCCTTCAGATGATCAGCAATGCTGACTCCTCGTCCTGGATAGGAGAGGTTAGAATAGGTGAACTCCAAAAATTCTATATCCTAATAACTGCGGTCATGCAAAACACTAACCCTATTTGTTTCAGGAACCCGAAGAATCAATCAACTTGCACGGTGAGTGCAGCCGGGAAGTAACAACCACCCACATACTTCCAAAAGCACCATTCTCCTTTACCCACATCAGTATCATTTCACTTCCCCACTACTATCAGTACTATTCTACAGGCTAGTGAGTCATCTTCACTCTGTGACCACAAACAACGATGATGAGAAACATGGAAACACCGTCGAAGCCTCTTAAAGCCACGTCGCCAACTTCATATGGGGGAGCATTCAACGTCAAGACCCTCTGCCAAATCGGACAACAGGTATCACACTAGCAAGTACTCAGGCATCTGAAGGCATGGATGTATGATGTTGTTTCGGAGACACACATACAAGACCTAAGTGTTGGTATTCACTTAACCCCACCTGGCAGACAGGCTGAATATACGGGAAATTCATTTCAAGACTGTCAACGAGATACTTCAGTTAGTTTGCGAGGACTAGCAGGTGTAAGGGGATAGTATTGAGTGTCAAGGGCAGAAAATTCCCTACTCGACTGGGTGTCCCCCCAATGGATAGTCGTGTTTGTGCTGTCCACCTGAACGTACCCGTATGAAGAGCCGCGTTACCCACAGATTATTTCCACAATTTCCACCTACGCGCCTAAATCCACTGCATTTCGGAAGAGGAAAAAAAGAATGAGCTCTATTCTTAAAACTGTCTGGTTTGTCATATGGATGAAACTTGGGCACTTTGGAAGAGTATAATTCCATTATGGATAAAATCTATTTTGACTAAGCCACACAGTGTGTACTAATGGACTTAAGCCAAACTGACTTAAACGACTCGGGGATTGACTTGTTACCAGGGGATAATCTCGTTAACACTTAGAATATGCAGATGATACAGTCCTTTTTAAGTAAGGACGCTGACTAAATACAGCAGAGTCTTCTGAACACCTTGAGCTCAGCAGCAATCTTCGAATGTTTGGCATGCAATTCGCCCCCGCTAAATGTAAGATGATGCTACAGGACTGGACTAGACTACATATTGACTCCTAGCTTAGAAATGGGGAGTGAAGTAGTAGAGAGCATTGACCGCTTCACTTTTATTTGAGAAGTTGTGTCAGTCAGCCCCAACGGGTTGACAGCTGATGAAATCTCAGCACGGATATAGATAGCTCATTTGGCATACGCCAACTTACACCATCTCTGGCTTAGTAGTAGACATCATATATCCGGTTGGCTATCGACCAAAGGGTGTATGTACTGCTCCATCCTCCTTCAAGGCTGTGAGACAGCTATTGAAAGCGAAAGACATGAAAGGCCTAGCTGTCTTTCACCATAAATGCGTCTCTGCGTTCAATCTCCCATGTTAGATGGTATAATATGGTTAGTAGAACTGAGGTCAGGCAAGGAGTGGAAGTCAATCAATAAGGTTGTGAAACCGAATCAATAGAGATGGCTAGCACATGTGTTACACATGCACAACCATCGACTTCCTCGACAAGCAATGCTAGCTGATATAGGATTAAGTTAGAAAAGAGCTAATCGTGGTCAAACCAAGACATGATATCAGTCCATAAAATCTTTGACAGTTTGAGCCACGCAGGGGTTGTAGGCTTTCTGATTGGGGTCCTCGTGATTCTAAGATCCAACAGATGGAGACGATAAATGATGATATGGTTCGAAATCGCTCCCAATAGCGCATATGTTTTTCCATGTTAATATTCTTTTTCCACTTATTATTGTTATTTCGTCCCTTTTCTGTCTCTCTCTCTTTTGCCTTCCACTGTGTCCTACACGGATTTTGACGCTCAAACTGCTGCATTTCTGTGCAAAGTTCTATGTTGAATCCAGCTTTTTAAATGAGTGAATTGAGTTAGTTAGTTACTGTTGTACCTACGGTAACTATCTGAAATATACGGATATGAGGGGTGACAAAGACGTTTGAATTGACAACATACACTCACCCCACCCCACCCCCCGAAGTCATTTATTCCCTTATTGTGCCTACTTTAATATAATATCAAAATGAAACTTCTAGAACGAGTACTACACATATGAAATCTCCAATAGAAATAATCAAGTAACAGCCATTCGCTCTAGAATAATGCCTTGCCCTTGAGCAAACAATACTTATCTTCCTATACCCTTGACTTACTAAATACTTGCTATCTTTAGGATCTCACAATTTCCCTTCTGGGCTCCTCCTTTCTGTCAGTAGTAGCCAGCTAGCACTTGTGTAATCTGTCTGCCACGGTTCACTCACTATGTCAATTATCATGGAGGTAAATTGCCTACGCGCGGCGCGTTCAGTCAAGATCGAAATCACTCACTCACTAGGAAGTAGGATGATCGAAAATTATACAAATTATTTGATTAGTAAAACACATTAAATTATGAAAAATATTTATGTATTCAGTAAACACAATAGATATTCATTCTAATATATATATACTGATGTCCCTCCCTCATGATGACCACTCAAAATATAGTCTATTGTTATTATTACTACAATGACCAGGTAAACGTCTCTACTTAGATGACAAATATTTAAAAAAAACCTAATAAAATAAATTTAGTCAAGTAACATATTTTTACGCATTTTAGCATAGATTTTCTTCATTTCCTTCCATTTAATAGCTATATTGTCCATCAACTCATCAGAGCCAGGCGTATTCAACGACATCGATTTTCCTTCTGCCAAAAGAATATTCATTTCTTTCTCCAACTCTTCAAATCGTTTAAGCAGCTCAACATTTTCAGGTTCATCTTTTATTTTTGCCCACTTTTTCTCGCGTTCTTCTTCATAAGTCTTTTCATCAACAAGAAGAAACCAGTGGCCACATTGACATCGTGTAGGCAGATCACGATGGAGGAGTAGGTGCATTGTATAATGATGATGTGGGTCACCTGTAATTAGAAAATATGAAAAAATGTGAAAATAAAAAAAATCTGACAACGGTAATAAAAAAAATACGTTTGGAAACACTTACAACAACTTCTATTTATTGTAGACATTAACTTTGTTGAATCTAAGACTAAAATCACAATATATGAAAGTGATATTGTAAAAGAGTTAACACTCCTATGATAGCAAGTAACAAATGTGTGCATTCATACGCCAACTATATTTTTTCACAAGACGTCGACGTTTAACAGTTTACTACTAATACATCATAAACTTTTACATAAACACCTTAAAGAACATAATTCATATTTCTTTCTACCATTACCCATTCTGTTTCGCTCTTATACCTGTCAAACTCTATTGATTCTCTTCACTCATCTTCTTGTCTACCTTTGTGCGCTATTTGGAACGTGGCAACTCGAACTGCTGCATTTCGGTGCCAAGTTCTATGCTGAATCCAGACAGATAGACTTCAAGAAACGGTCACAAACAGATGAAAGATTAACGTTCAACGAGGAACCATCAATCAGAAGACTGTGTTTGTCTACTAACAATGATCTATAATAATGTACATGAATATCTATAAATGTGTTGATTTCCTTAATAAACGATCTGTTGCCTGGCCCCTGTCTTCTGTTGTTACAGTAGTACTGAATTACAAACTGACTTATAATATCTCATGCCACTTTTTCTACTGTCCAGACGATGTAGTTGTTGTTGTCGTCAACTCGACTCTGTGTTTCAAGTCAAACAATCCCTGATTAACGTGAGTGCACTCAAAGTTTAAAAAGAAAGCATATAAGATATATATATATATATATATATATATATATATATATATATATATATGCATACATACATTCAATTTTCCATTATGGATAAGATTTTATTTTGATAATTCACACAGTGTTGTACACTTATATTAAATGATGACGTTTCGAGCACAAACTATTGCTCATAATCATACCAAAGTAACTCACACAACTTTTTTCTCTAATTTATATACATGTGTAGAATCGATTAGATATTGGATTAAAAATCAATGAGATAATGTCCATTCAGAAATAATAGTACGAGTGTTATCGACCCATTACAATTATATGGGAAATACGAATGTTTTATACGAGCGTTGTTTTATAGTCGTAATAAGTTACTTGTTAGAATGTTTTGAACTGAAATAGAATTTTAAGATTATTTACTATCCTCTTCTGATTTGACTTGAGGTAATAATATCTCCCATATTTCTGGTATTTGCATTGAATCATTTTCTGTTGCATGTGTTGGGTGTAGACTCGATGAAAAAGGATTCCGTGATCAACCTCTCTCTCCGCCTACCCATATCAATTTTTAGAATTTTAACCCTATCCCACCCTATTGTGTGGTTGTTTGTTAATGCGTGAAGTGCAATTGCTGAGCTTTTTCCTAAATTACTTATCTTTTCGAGGTCAACCATTCTTACCTTAGCTAAATTCTTATGTTCTGACAATCTGAATACCCCTGACCTACTAGTTTGACCTATGTAGTTGACCTCACAATCATTACAGGATATTTTGTAAATTATATTATTTTGTCTAATTGGGTCAACTGGGTCCTTTGACCTACGCAGCGTGTCCGAGCTGAGTGAGTTTGTAGGTTTAAATGCCACCCTAATTCCTGCTTTATTTAGAATCCCACGTAGGGTCTCAGATGTCCCCTCTTTATATGGTATAACTGTAGATGACTTATATTCTCTCTTATTTATGCTATTATTACTAGTTTCACAACTATTTTTATTTTTCGTCTGGCCTTTTTCGATCTTCCTAATGAATTTTTAAGGATAGTTATTTAACACCAAAGCCTCTTCTATCTGTTTTAGTTCATCATTTAGGTCTTTTCGTGTGCTACCTAGTGCTAATGCTCAGTTTGTTAAATACTTAACTAAGCCAGCCTTAACAGTTAACGGATGAGATGAATTAAAGTCTAAGTACCTATTAGAAATTTGTAAGAGTTAGCACTCCTATGATAGCAAGTAACAAATGTGTGCATTCATACGCCAACTATATTTTTTCACAAGACGTCGACGTTTAACAGTTTAATATTAATACATCATAAACTTTTACATAAACACCTTAAAGAACATAATTTATTTTTTAAACATTTCTATGAAGATAATTTGCCTTTCATTTATCAATTATTTTCTTCTTTTTTCTTTATTGTATTTCTCGTTATCAAAATTTGTTTGAAAAACCTCATTTAGATAAAATGACAAATAATATAAACACTGGAAATATTTTCCCGTGTTCGTAGAGTATTCAGCCGACGAGTATTTTTGTAAATCCAAGAATTCATTAAATTCTGCTTCTCATACATACAATGGTTACGCATAACTCAAAACTCAATCAAATGATTATAAGCAATAGTTTGTGCTCGAAACGTGGTCATGAGTTAATATTACTGTATAACACTGTGTGATATGATCAAAATAAAATCTTATCTTTAATGAAGACTTTTTTTAATTACAGCTTGATTGCACACAGTATTTTTGGTGGTACAAGTATGGAATTCTCAGTATGTGATATGGGTAGGCCAAATTTCGCAGGCCGACCATTGATTGATATATGGTGTAGGGGATATACGGTAGGGGATGGAACCCTGAACCATGTGCATGGTCGACGAGAGTCCTAACCACTGTGCCACCGACTTGATAATGTCATACTGATTTTAGAGATCTATTAAGTGCATTACTGTGCCAAGTTCGGTTCGGTTCGTTTAGTGGACTCATAAGATAAGGTGTCCCACGAATTGCGGTCAAATTTTTTTTTGATGGAGAACCTGATGTGAATAAAGACACACCTAGGTTAGGAATTGTGCATGATAATCATTACAAAGAAACCGAGTATCCCAGTATGAATCATAGATTTCTGGTTTTCAGTTGTTGTTAGTATATGAGGTACGTGTTTTGGATACCAGATGGATATGGTATCGCACTAAAACACGAACATTAAACGCATTATGAATAAATGACATGGAGCAACAAAGTAATTTGACGGTTCACTAATAATACTGAGAAGACTGTGTAACACAAAATATTTCGAAGATAAGGAATGGACATTTCCATAAGAAGTCATGTAAGCAAAGTGAACTAGGTCGCAAGTTGACTGTATTTTTTCAGAGTTAGCAAAACGCAATCATTGGTAATGTAGTAGTAAAGTAACACAGATTTCTAAGTTAGAGTTCATGTTTAGTTTACGCGTACCAATACTACTATCAAGTCACTGCTTCTATGATGGTTCAAAGACTTGCAGCGTTCATCGTCAAGGGCATTTCAAACAGGCTTCAGACAGACTTTCATCAGCAGCTGCCTTCACTGGCCCGATAATGAGAAATTCGAAGGCCAAAAGGCAGGAACCTCGTACTCAACAAATATGGCAAAGTGATGGAAATGGATTGGACACACGCTGATGAGACCGGTTTGAGTGAAATCATGCGCCAGGTCCTCGAGTTGGACTCAAATAGCTTGGCTTCCGTCCGAGGGTGACATAAAGGAGACCATATAAGGGGGAAATGCGAGCAGCTCATAGACAGTCAAAGGGGCCAGCTTAAGACTACTGAAGAGAACAAAATGAAATGGAGGTGTCCTGAGGAAGCCCTCCTGTTCCACTCGGATCCCAAGGAAAGAATAACACATAATAAAAGGTTTTAACTGAAACTTTTCACACTAAGTAGTGAAATAAATCAGTTAGAGTTACGGTTAACTACACTAACTCTTCAACCTTACAAAATAAATGACCTAAGAAGCATTCAGCGGAAAATGCCATACAATTTACCATAAATACTTACTAGGAACACATCAAACCTCAGGACCCAGACTATTCTCCTTTAAGAAAGTTTTGTTCTTTGGAAGAATAATTTCAGGTTGGCACTACCTCTTCACCATGGAATTACGTGTTTTGTACAAAACCGTCGATTTTTGAATCGATGACAAAGAATAGAAACTTTTTGTTGCCTAATTGCACTGATCACATTAGATTTTGAACCAACCTTTCAAATTAATCTCTCATATTGCTGCCATCAATTCACCGTATATCTAGTTAAGTTAAAAACTGTACCATTACTGCAGGGTTGTTATTACTTTTCTTACGCAGAATATAGCTATCGTTGAAGATGCTCTTCATGCTTAACTATGTAAGGAATGGGGTTTTAATCATGATTATAACAGAACTTATACTGACAGTAGTATTCTTTACGGTAGTAGATTAATAATCATGTCCGCAAAAAGAGGCCGTTTTTAAGTAAACAAAGAACCTATGAGTTATAACACTGTGAAATATCTCAATACCCCCCACAAAAAGGGGAGTATACTGAGCAGTTAAATATACATGAAATAAGGACATAAAAGAAAGGACCACTTCGCAAAATCACTAAGCAATTTAGAATGAGCAAGCACACAATCCACTTATCTAAAGATGCTTATCAAGCGTACTGAGAACCTATGGTAGGATTTCAGAGGTACCACCACCTTAAAACCAGTTTTGTACAGTAGATTATTCCTCTTCGCTGGGACTTATTTATTATTTACTGTTCCCTTGGGTTCCTAGTGGAATCTAGGGCTTCAACTGAACGTCTCCCTTCACTTGCCACCTCTGTCTTCCTTCTGCTGTACTTTTCACCTTCATCCATGCATGTTAGTCCATACTCTTTCAACTCCTTTACAACTTCACACGATCTCCTCCATGTCACACATGCTTGCACTGACATCCCACTCGCCGCTTGCTTCCCTTTCGCCCTCGTTCCACTCGAGCAATGGCCTGACGCGCGCGCGATCTCACCCAGCGGCCTCCCTCCTCAGCGAGTGTCCAATCCATCTCCACTTTCCCCTGCATATTTCCTGTTGTCGGGTGATTGGTTCTTGTTTTGTTTGTTAGTGCCCATAGTCCCTTGTTGAAGATTCTTTGCAGCCCGGCCATCTGATCTGATCTTCAGTATAGATCCAGTGAAGACAGTTGTTGGTTGATAAAGAAAAGTCTGCAACAGGCTGTTGGTGGAAATATTCTTTTTGACCCAGCTGCCAAGTTTCTCATCCGTATAGAAGAACTGACTGACTTGACGCTGTTTGTATTGAAAATCCGACCGACGGAATTTTGTTGTTGATTCTGGCTGACTCACGAAGATTCCCAGATTGATTTCAAGTTGATGAGTGAATGTGTTTCTCGCTCGCCTTCCGATTCTCGCTCGATTTGACATCCTCGTCCGTTCCAACTAGCTGTAGTTGAGACAATGCTCCCTCCCCCCTAGATAAGTGAAGTGAAGTAACCTCTTTCAAATCCCTCCCGTTGATTGTGACTGACGCTGTTGTTATTGTTGGCGGGTTATTCTTATCACCTCCGTCTTGTCTATGTTCACCTGGAATCCTGTCTTCACTACCTGCTTCTTCGACCAGTTTGTCGGTCGGTTTTCACTTGTAAGTCTTCGATTTTGCGTGACATCAAACATGAATGATCCACGCGCAAAACCCACGTCTTCTAGGTTCTTCACGTTGGTCGTTCCAGGATATCCCTCCCTGTCTTCTCGTTTCCCACTGACTGTTTGACGAATAATCCAGTCAGTCCACCACAATTAGGAATATCATTGGTGGGTGATAATAAGCAATCACCCTTGTTTGACTCCTGTGTTTACTCCAAACGCCTCACTGAGTGAGTTTTCCGTTGTGGATGACTTGACATGTGCCGCCGTTGTCGTACAGCTGTTGAATAAGGTTGATGAATATTTGGGCGCTGCACGCCGTGGTACTCGAGTAATTTCCAGATTACTTCAGGAACAACGTTGCACTGTCGAAGGCCTTCTCAAAGTCTATAAAGTTGAGGTAGCTGAGGTTTGATTTCCATTCCATGCTTTGTTCTGTGATGATGATTCGTAGAGTTGCGATTTGGTCAGAAGATGATTTGCCTGACTCTCCTGAATGCAGTCAGCTTGTTCTGGTCGGAGTTCTGTCTCCAGTGCGTCCTTAATTCTGTCCAGGATGATTCGACTCAGGATTTTACTTGGCGTCGACAGGAGCATGATTCCTCGCCAGTTCTAAGTCGCCCTTCTTTGCTAGTTTAACGTGGTAACCTTTCCTTCAGTCAATAGGCACCTTTCCATCTTCCCAGACCTTTTGCAATAATGGAGTCAGCATGTCTGCTGTAGTCTCTGGGTACGCTTTCAGTGCTTCAGGGGGTATTACATCTGGTTCAGCTGCTTTTCCAGCTTTCAGAAGCTCGATTGCACGCCAGAATTCACCTTTCGTTGGAGGATTGGTGTCAACTTGCATTTGGGACTTGTTTATCCTAACTTTATTTTACCAAACCACTTGGCTCGTTTACTAAAGCGTAAGTATTATCTAGCGATATTTTCTGCTAGTTTAAAATACGGAAGTGTTTCAGTGAACGCTACAATCTATTAACCTCAGGCAGGTGTGTTAATGCGGTTGAAAGAAACAGACTGCTGTTAACTGTTAATCAGTCTAGTTGTGGTACGCAATTTGTCAGGACTAGCGATTGCACTGATGAAAGAAATAGCATTATTATAAAGAACTCAATGTCCACCACAGCTGATATGAAGTAACCAGAGAAATGAACAATGGATATGAACATCCTGAGAGAATAATTAATGAATTACTTTGACAACAATAATCTAATCAAAAACATTTAAATTCATGGCTAGAAGACTGAAGTTAATGACATCGAAGTGAGCCATTGATATTGGGGTTAGGATAAGGGTCACAATTAACATTCGAGTTAGATCTACGGTTAGTGTAAGGGTTATAATTAGGGTCAGTACTACGGTTGGGGTTACGACTAGGGACAGATTTTGACTTGATGTCATTTATTTTAATTTGTTTCATTATCCACATTATTCCAGTAAGTAGTCGTCAACCCTTTTACAGCAAACCAGTAATTCAACCGAGGGCTTTTCAGGAAGATTACGCAACTGGATATGAGAGAGGAACAATTCACAAAAACAGCTGTAATCACCTCGGTGAATACATGCACAGAAATTAGTCTAACATAGCAGCTGATACTCCTCATTACAATCTGAACGTATTTTTAAGTCGTGTTTAATGTGCGTTAGTTCGTAAATATACTCCATCTTGGTGCAAAAGTCACTTAATTTTGTGACTGGTCGGCTGAAGGTCACTCGTACGTTCGCATTCCTTGGGACGCTTTTGTTGAACTTAGCCCGAATATCTACCACCCAATAACACCGGAACATAAAATTCCTCTCGTTTATTGCAAGCTCAACTAGAAATGGGTAAAATACATTTCCTTCTGCGCACGGATACAGCTCCGCGACTTAAACTATTAACAGTTGCCACACAAAATTCGAAAGAACTTCAAGAAACACACGGGAAAGTTTTACCAAACATGAGTATTTAACTTACAGTGACACTGCTGGATAGTTCTGATGTCTGAACTACTAACTAAATTTGGGTTTTCCTTAGAACTAGGCTTGATTTTCCCAGCAGCTAAGACGCTCGGCTGAAAGTGAGTAATTTAAACGGCGAAACTGACAAGTACCTCTACCAATGCAACTTCCCAGAGAAGATCTTCTTGCAAATTCGACAACTTCGTCCCAATAGGTGTATTTAGAGACCCAGCAACTGACTTATTACAATGAAAAAGGATTGTTCTTACCAGTATCACACAGGTTGGGGTTATTCTCTATAAACTTGAGCATTTTATCTTTTACTCCTCCGGCTACAGCAACAGCTGGAGAATGAGAGGAAAACCGGGGAAAAGCTTCACAACCGAAGCGATCTGTCTGGCAACCGTACTCAACGCCATTTCAAATTTTTGTGTCTGCCGCGTAATCTTTCAATATCTAATATCCCTTTAGCACCAACATACACTGGATCCATTTTTTACAGAACTTCTTGGTGATGAAATTCAGTGGGTTGCCATTTGACTCATTTACCCAACAGCTTGTTTTAGGTGAGGCAGACTCAGAGAAGACTTATAGGTTAATCAGACTTAAGGGTCCTTTTTGAGCTACACTAACGCACTGATATAGCTATGCTTAGGAACACTGCATTAGTTCAGTAGTCATTTGATGTGGTCAAAGAGAACTGGATTATGACAATATTGTAAAACTAATGGCAGGAAAGCGTTGATGGCTCAGCGGTAGAATGCTCTCCAATCACGCCAGTCGTTTGGGTTTTGATCCCCGAATGACGCACTCAGATTCAGATTCAGATGATAAGGATAGAAGGCTCTTGTGGCCTGTGTTAATTCTTGAAAAGTATATCTCTGTAGAGATCTAACTTCTCTTTGAAAGCGTTCACCGATGGAGCTGATACTACTGAATCAGGTAAGGAGTTCCAATCGTTGACCACTCTGTGAGAGAATCTAAATTCTGCACGTATTTTAATCGTCCTTGGTTTGAGCACCTTTTTGCGGTGACCCCGTAAATGTATCCTAGAAGGGGAGAAAAGGTTAGAAAGGTCAGTTCCTAAATCACCCTTAAGTATACGGTATGCTAAAATTAAGTCGCCTCTCTTCCTTCGGTATGATTATTTGATTATAGGTATTTTTGATCATAGCGTGATTCTATACAGTACGTTTTTATACAATTACGGAATTTTCAGCATGTGGTATCAGCAGCCCAAATTTCGCGGGCCGACCATTGATATCGGGTATGCGTCGGCAGGGGATCGAACCCCGGCCCATGTGCATGGTCGGCAAGAGTCCTAACCACTGTGCCACAGACGCACAGTAATTACCTCGCTCAGCTAGTAATAAGACTCTTAAAGAAGGAAGGTGTGGAGTACGCAACAATATTTTGTTAGATCTAGAAATTAGAGACGTTGTACATGTCTTTTGTTTAAAATGATTCATGTTGGAATATGGATAACTTCCGAGTACAACCTAAAATATAGTGTACTGTTGGTCGTTTCGTCTTCTTACTGGTCTATACTGTCTACTCAGTTCACTCATAACCGTGTAATATACTTTGAATTTTCGCAAGAACCTCCTATCCTCATCCGAAGACTATTCTACAACTGGTGCACAGCTTCTACCAGTGGACACAACTCTATCAGTGAACGCTGCTATGGACTATATTAATAGCTTGTAGCCGTAGACTTTAACTGTGTATCCAAGTAACCGTTTGAATATAATAACTCATTACTGTATTTTTTATCATATGCTGTTACACTATCATCTCATTAACTTGGATTTTTATACACATATTCGTTATGTTATCGATCTCGCTAAAAAGTCCCTCGCAGAGGTCGGTAATGAGGCCAGCAACCGTATCCCGTAAAATTAAATACCACTGACACCGAATCTTCACAACTCTACCTAGAAGCTCTATGATCCACTGTGGAAAAATGGCAGGAAAATCTAACCAGATATTAGAGACAGGAAGTAAACAAATTAAGAATAAAAGTGAAATGAAGCAAGTGAAGGAGTGAGCACAGTTAAATGAATGGTGACAATAAAGGAAGATTATTCAGGTGTCATCCTCGCAAGTTAACTAGTTCGCTAATTTTATAGCCGGTCCCTAGCCCAGGTAAGGAGTGAGGGTTGGGCGTGGTGCTAGCGAACCTACACCAATAAACCTATCAAACCGCTGGAGAAACAGTCTTATTCTTCGCTCGATTCGAAGAGGCGAAATGACTTAGGCTGCCGAAAGCCAGCCTTCGGAAAGCCAGTCAGCCTGTCTACGTATCTTCTCTCAATGAAATCGAGAGTTAGAATGAGGAAGTGCAATGTCTGTATAATGTACGAAACTGAGAAGGCTTCTCAGGTAGACAAAGAGACGCGAAGATATGGCTTGAAAGTACTGGGTATCTGCGAAAACAGATGGAATGGACGTGGATTGGCAACATTATCAACGGGAGAGTCAGTATTCTACTCCGGTTAACCAGACGACAACCACGAACACACTGAGAAAGTGACTGCCGGAAAAGTCACCATTGGCAGCCAAAGCCCTAAAGCGGTGGGAACCAACTTTATCCAGGATCATGACATCGATGTCCAACTCCAAAGGAAGGAAGGTCACAATTATCCAGTGCTACAAACAACGCGGAACAATGGAAGAAGGAATATTCTCACAGACCACCACAATCAATAATGGATGACATCCCAAATGGTGACATCAAACCCATCAAGAGCAAAACGAATGCCAGCTGAACGGGGAGCAGATAATAGAGGAAGAGAACTTATCGTGCATAGAGAAAATCTGGGTCAAACGAATGAGAACGGAGAATTCTTTAGAGACTTCCACGCTTTTAGTAAGTTGGTGATAGGAGGTGGTGTGCACAAGCACGGGGATATACACAAAGCATCATGGATTACGTCTGACGGACACACCACAAACCAGACAGAATTCACCTCAATGCTGCTCGAGGAAGTGAAAACACAGCTAGCCTGCCGGACACGAAGTCGAGAAGGGAAGCAGATGTGGGCAGTGTCAGACCATCATCTAGTTCAATTATCCTTCTTGGTGAAGCTAAAATCCCTGAAATCAAATGGGGACAGACCACAATTCGAGTTCAACATTCAGAAACTGGAGGACAAAACGACAAGGAATGCCTTAGCTACACATCAAATCAGAGTGAAGTCAGACACACTACGTGGAATCACTGGGGAAACCTGTGTGGAAGAAATCTGGAACTAATTCTCTGAACGTGATCTTCAAGGAAACGTGTACAATCGTTCTAGGAAGAAATAATAATAACGTATATTCTCATATAAACATATAAATTTACGTGAAAATGCATGCTATTTTTACAGGCACGATCAAGTATGATATAATATCAAATCGTAGATTGTCTACAAGTTAATAATGTTTCAACAGTTAAATATTTTATATATATATATATATAAATACACTCATTGTCTGAACTGGGCCGTATAGTTATTGAATTGTAAAATTGTCCTCCAGGTTGAGCGGGAAAATCGACTTCGTTTCGTTTACATCCCGTGGTTGTCGGCATACGATAACCAACCACTATTGAGGTAAGTACAACGTTTACAAGGGATTGAAAGCTGTTTTAGAAAAGTAAAAGTGCTAAGGTGAATCAATAAATTGTAATGAAATGGTTAAGTGCAAGTATCACTAATAAATGCATTAATAAAGGAAACTCCCTAGGCTGACAACGTTCATTTGCAATGTATAATGCTTACTGTACAGTTTGCACTGTCATGATGTCCACTTTTGGTTTTAATACATTTTTTCTTTATGCCGGTTTTTTATATTTTATGCCTTTTTGTGCATTTGGTGTACAACCGTACCCTACAGAGAATAGGAATAGAATAAGTCGAATCAAATTCATAAAGAGCTATAAAATGTTAGGTTTAATGGGATATAATGAGGATCAAGTAAAAACGTTATTAGAAAATAAATGAGATAAGACATTGCAAATCTCCGATTACTGATGAAAGTGGACCGAGGAATCAAAGATTGGGTTACACGGGCGTAAAGTTTTTAGATTGGCTTCATGAGATTCTAGATTTGCGCGCCATTCCTGTGACTCTGTCACCTGGACAGACGGTTGGTTGAGCATGAGTTTTGGTCCACGATACTTTTCTCGCTGTGAACTTGAAAGTGAGCACAGCGTGAGTCATACCACGTGGGCTTCGTTACATGCTGCACCAGGGCTGGTGAGACGGTAACCTCTAGCGTCACTTCGCGCTTCTTGAGTTGGAAAAGTACACAGCATCCTTTTTGACCCAGTTGGTCTGCCCTATGCACCGTGAACTTTAGGAGATCAAATCCATTGTCGGTGACATCAAATATAAGCCAATTCAGGTAATGATAATGACACCCGCATTTTTAGGGTCTACCATATTGCCGAGCTTGGTCCATTTGTTTGGCGGACTATGGGCAATAGTGTATCAAACTTTTAACTCTGTTTCTTAAACTTCCACTCTTCACTCACAGAGATTTCAGGATCTTCAGATTCAAACTTTTACAACTCCAAAAACATACATATAACGAGGTTTTACTCGTCGTTCTATTAATTATGGAGCCTATGACTGTTTTGGTGCTATCTGCGTAGTATAGCATCCATCTCAGTTTTGGGATCCAGTACGACTCTGAGGAGTCACGCCGACTGACTAGCTGTTTGAGATTTCCGAACACACTATGAGTAGTTATGCCACTTGGCAATAGATCGACTGAGATTCGTCTGACAGTGTGAAAACCTGGTTTTGGGATCTGCATCCATAGATTCTTTCACTTTGTGCGAGATGGTTGACCAGTTTGTAATATAAGGTTTGCTTTGAATTGCTTTATTGCTCTGGGATGGTAGTGTCTTCCAGTCCATCGTGCACAGTATGCCTTTGGCAGTAGCCACCGTCTTGCAAAAGGAGACGTTAGATGATTGATGTTATGCGCTTTAAAGGTGGGGTCACACATAAGTTTCGGATGGCTGCAGAAAACACCCTGGTATGAGTGCAGCCTATTATGTACCCATGAAGTGTATGACGGCGTTTTTTCTGACCGCATCACCCGAGTGGTTCTCGCCTGTGTCTGGTTCTTCCCTTAGGACGTGACCCGATTTATGGGACCAACTTTGGGATGATGAACAGAACTCATGACGGAGGGTGTTCCGTTGTTCATCAAATGTGCTAACGACACTCTCAATATCTACTAAATGTAGGTTCTAGCTAATTCAAAACACCGTCCGAGTGATACAAACGTAGAAAGCAGCATTACTATACATATACATAGCTCCACTGCATTACACTCGAAAAGAGAATAAAGAGTAAAGCAGCGAGAGAGGTGCAGAGGCGGCCAGCAAATATTCACGGTTAAAAATAATTAATATGCAACAAACGCAGGGTTCATTTCCTTTCTTATTACTGAAAATGTATAGCCATTGAATTTTA